AAAAATAACGAGTAAAAATACTCAGCGATACTACACAACAAAACGTCTAATAAGTTATTTATTATCCAACACGCCAAACTCTTATATCAGTGCGGGCGAATTTCGCGGATATTTATTTACGGGGAGTGCGTGACAGAAGTATGCGAAGCGGAACGGAATTGGCGCGTTGTTGTGTTGCTGTTTCTATTTTCTTCATTAAATGAAGAAATTATCTGGTCGTCAAGCTGTTTTTCTTCGTTCGATTCATCTAATGAACTTGGATCTATATTTTCCAGCTATTCGGACTCTTCGTCGTCGGAAATATGATTCAAATTGTCCGCCATTTGTTTTGTTTTCTTCGTAACTACAATCCAATTCTTCGCTTGCGCGATGCGAGAAAACCTCTTTAACCGGTACTCTACAATACATAGACGAGTACAAATACCGCGTGATATTTATACTCGCATATGACGTTATTTGTACTCGTCTAGGTGTAGTTGGATAATAACGAATTTTACTTTACAAGCATCTAACACGACAAAAAGAAGCAAAGAAATCAGGATATTCTGCGAGTAAGCTACGTACACGAAATAAGTCAGTACTTTTCCAGTTGTTTCGTAGACTATCTTTTACTTCATCCGATATGACGACAAAAAGAAGCAAAGAAATCAGAATACTCAGCGAGAAAGCTACATACATGAAATAAGTACTATTCCAGTTGTTTCGTAGACTATCTTTTGCTTAATCAATCATCCAATATGGCGACTTGGTACACTGTGAATTCGCGAAACGACCCTTGCCAAAAACGTTCGACATCTTTTAAAGTAGGTCTACCGCGAACGGCGTGTGGATCTATATGTGACCTGAGCATATTGATAGTAATCGCCAAACTTTCTCTTCTCCCTTGACCATAACACGTTGAAATTATGTATGTCCACAGGCTGCCCAAGCGTACTGTGTATGACTTGGGCGGTCATGTTAAAACGCAGACCGCAGACTGCAGACTGCAAACTGCAGACCGTACAGACTGTGCAGACTGTGCAGACTGTGCAGACTGTGCAGACTGCAACTTTTTTTTATTTTTTCTGTTTTTCACTTTTTTTTAACTCTGATTTTCACCTTTTCATTACTCTTTTGGTAACGTTAGAACATCGTCCAGTTTTTGGACACCACATAACGTAGTTTCACCAGGTTATTTCGAGCTCAAGATACCTAGCAACAATTTGGACGAAATTCCAAAGCTCAAAATTATCGAGCACGTGGTGACGGAGATCGAGGAGGGAGTGTTGTATTTGAGTTTGGTTTTGTGTTGAGATGAATTTTAGATTTGTCATATACTTTTGTTAACTCATTATTTCTGTATTGAAGATGGAAACCAGTGACTAATTTAGAGGTAAGAAATAGGTTGCGTGGACGAAGCAAATAATTACCAGGATCTTCACAACACGACCCAAAGAACTTTACAGTAAATAAAATGCTGCAAGCTAAAATCGACTTTTACTCGGAAATAAGATCGTCCCTGTAGTGTCTAGTTAAGCGCAGGGCATTGTAGGTTTCAGGAGGCAGCCATCTTGGAAAAACGTGTGTGTGTGGAAAATAAAGTGTGTTGTGTTTTCGGGAAAATCAGTGTACTTTACTAGCCATCCGATCCAGCCCCGATAGTACATTGGCGACGAGGATACGCTTCGGTTCGCCTTCGTAGCAGGTTATTTTGGAGATTCATCCCGAAGGAAGCGAAATTTTAAAGCGAAATGCATGTCACTGGCAAGACCTCACCGAGCACCTCGAGTGCCAGTCAGGCAACAGTGAGTCAGCCAGCTCAAATGGCCCAGTTTGGTGCATCGGAGGTCAGGAATCTACCCTGCTTCAACCCCAGAGAAGATCCAAACGCCTTATATGTGCGTCGGAAACGCTGGAAACGCTCGTTCGAGTTATATTTACTTAATTTGCCGAGTTATATTTACTTAATTTGCCGACTGGCTTCGGAAAATCTCTGATTTTTCAAGCTTTGCCGTTAGTCATCGACCACGTATCAAGTCAGCTAGGCCACATTTGTGTTGTTGTGTCGCCTTTGCTCACTCTAGTGGATGATCAAGTGGAATATTTGAGAGGCAAGGGAGTTACAGCGGCGAACATTAGCTCTTACACTGAAGAAGAGGCGACTTTGATAGAAAAGGGAAAGATTTCTGTTGTCTTTGGCTCCCCAGAAGCTTGGATTCAAAACGAACGGTGGAGAACAATGCTTGGAAATTCTGTGTATTCCAAAAAATTATGTGCTTTGGCCATCGACGAAGCCCACGTAATAAGGCAGTGGTAAGTGGAGTCTGTATATATATATGCTTAAAGTTTCTGCTTAGCACTCCACTTATAAAATTTTAATCTTGCTTTGCAATGCAAATTGATCAAATACCATCCTTTTCATTGTTTTGCTGCAGTTTAAATTTTTGATGGTTATTGGTTTTTCTTTTACAGGGGGACATCCCAAAGCAATAAGATGGCTGCGTTTCGTCATTGCTATGGAAAGCTGTATGAGTTGCGGTCCCTTGCTCCAAATACCCCAATGGTTGCATTAACTGCAACAGCANCGTGCAGTTGCGTTCATTTCACGATTTCTTTGTTTCAAGAGTATCGATCCTGCAAGTGCAACACTTCCAAACCAAGTGCTTTTACGGTTTGCCGGCTTTGGTCGGCTGGCACTGTTCAACAGGAACGCGTAAAATATTGGAGCCCTTTCTTGCCATTCTTCGCACAACTTTTGAAGATCAAAACTCTGCAAATCTTCCTTGCTTGTTTTTCTAAGCAATGACGGCCTGCTCTTGCCGCATAACCCTGATACTTCCTTTGATACAGCTTTTATTACACTAGAAACGACATGAATTCGCACTGATGGGCAATTCATGACAGCCTTAGCGATTTGGGAAGGGACTCCGTGAGCTAATGCCTTACCAAGAGTCTGGTGGGAGCCAACTAGGGTTTTGTTCAAGTTTTTACTCGGATAATGTACATGTAACTTCACAATGGTGCTATCAGAGCATCCAGGTTTTGACAAATGGAACCCCGTGGACACGTTGCAATGATCGCCATGAACATCACCCTGACTGTCAGAAAAAGCATTATTCTTGGTTTGAATGGGTGAAATTCCGGTAAAGAGGAATGCCTGTCTGCTTGATGGAGTAGGAGTGGACTGAGCTAGCGGTGTAGCATGAGAAGTACAAGCGGCAGGATCGGAATAAACATGTGAAGTTTCCGTAGAGAACCGGAGACTTTTTGCAGCACGCACTCGCACATCTCCACTGTTGATCGTCTCCGGATCGTCTCTGTTTTTATCGCGTCCAAGTCTTTTTTCCCTCAGTTGCTCTCTATTTCTAAAAGCAGACAGCAGTTCCTGTTTGATTTCTCGCAGTTTTTTACGCTGCTCTTTCGTATTGGACTGCTGAAAACACTGTCGGCAAACAAACAAATTACTGTCCTCGTGGTATTTATTTACGTCAAATTCCAGCGACGATCGAATTAGTCCAGCTAAATCAGTGGACGTCTTACCAAATATATAGATCTTATTTTTACTGGTAGGGATAGATGAACAAATAATTACTTATTATTGCTTTGCACGATCTTCTTAGGCGTCTCTTCCATAGCACGTTGTATGCCGCAAGGGTTTTCCCGCGAAAGAAAACACGACGTCTCGTGTGATTGGTGCAGCGTATACAATGACAACTATTTCATTGGTCCGAGCAAACAAAAGCGCAACACAGAGAGAAAGGAATGTATGTCGGTTTGAAGCAGCCGCGTGGGGACGGGGAGCGTTGCGTGACTCCGGCCCAAGCGGCTGCGAAGGAGACTACGCGGGAACGGACTTGCAAGACTACACACTAGCCGGCGGAGCGGAGGAATTGAAACCTTATATGGACGTTGTTACACTTCTGGATGCACATTTCGTGCCGAAAGTTAATGTTCCCTTCGAAAGACATGTTTTTCGACTCATGGAACAACATAGCCGGGAGAAGGTTGACCAGTTCGTGTACTGATTTCGGCAAAAGGCTGTGACATGTGATTTCACTGATGTCGACGAAACGATCCGAGACCAACTGATAGAGAAATGCTTAGACCCCAAGCTCAGACGAAAATTCCTGGAGAAAGCTAATCCCACCCTCACAGATCTACAAGATATTGCGAGGGCCCACGAAGCAGTTACCGAAAGGTTTAAGTCGATGGAAATATCTTTTACACATCACGCAGCACATGTTAACTCGGTCAAGCATAATACAACCCAGAAAGGGACAATATGTAGTCAAACGGAAACAAATGGTGCAGAAATATGAGGTACAGAAACCCAAGGCAGGTCAATCACAGAGATGTTATAGTTGCAACAGTTTTGGCCACGTTGCCAAAGATACATGCTGCCCAGCGAGAGATAGGCGATGTGACAATTGCGGGATTCGAGGAATTTCGCAGTGTAATGCGAGAAAACCGGAACTAGGAAATGACGGCCTACAACCAAACAGGAAAACATTTTGAATATATCAACAAAGTTGAAATGGTAGATTGGCCACCGTTACGATAAACAGGAAAACAGTCAGATAAGAAGTAAGAAAGCATTTCATGTAATAGAAGGAGCAGCTGAACGAGAGGATAAATACGCATTTGTTGTTGGAGGCCAACACAAAACCGGAGAGCTTTCGCTTAAAGTCGGTGGAGTGGATTTGGGCAACGTATTAATTGATTCAGGTACCTTATGTAACTTGATTGACTCCGAAACTTAGAACATCCTGAAACAAAGACATATCGAGTGTGAATCCAAGAAGTCAAACAAGAAGCTATTCGCATATGGCCAGAGAGAGCCAATAATAAGTAAGTAAGAAAGGACTTTATTTATAGAGGGGGACACGTAACAGCTGTATAGCTGACAAACCTGTGGCCCTCTAACTAGATTACACAACATTACAAAAAACTGATAAATGAATAAATATACAAATAATTACAAAATTCTATAATAGAAATAGCAGGATAGATTAAAAATATTGAGAAAGATAAAATTGATTTATAAAAAATTAAAATTAGATAATGTACTATTGCTTAATATTGTTTCAAAGTTGTCCAGGTTTTTATATGAGCTTATATGCTGCTTTTTCATAGCTGTTTGAATAGTTTTACACTAGGCTTATTTTTGATATCATGGGGAAGGCTGTTCCATAACTTAATTGCGTCAACACTGAATGCCTTACCACCATCGTTATTTCTTAGGTATTCGGGACACGCTAAATTTAAATTGCCATGTCTAGTAGATCTATTGTGTACAGAACTGTTCATCTTGAGCAAGTCTCTGATGTAAATCGGAACATCGCCTTTAAGGCTCTTAAAAATCATTGTACATTTATTTAATTTGATTTCATCAAAAAAAGGCAGCCATGCCTAGTTTTCTAAAGTTTACAACACTTCTAGAATAAGAGTCCACTCCAAGAATTACTCGGGCAGCCCTTTTCTGTAACCTTAGGAGACAGTGGAGTTCTTTAGCGTCACAGATATTCCAAACCATGCTCCCGTTTAATCAAGGCGTTATAGTATAAGAGTCTTTCCTTTATTAGAAGGTATCTGTATCTTTTTCAATAAACCAATACGCTGAAAAAGCTTGGCCCTTAGGCTAGAAATGTGGTCACTAAATGTAAGATCTTGATCGAGTGTTACACCAAGCAATTTATAAGAGGTTACTTGTTCTATTGCGGCCCCATCAAGGGTCACTGACAGGTGATTGCCCCAATGGAAGTCAGGGGCACATTTATTGCAGAAATAGCATGCGCCGAAAATGGAGAAGTGTGCGTGGATGAATTCACTGTCATCAAGGGTACTGGAAGACCCTTGCTTGGGCGAAGCACAGCAGAGAAACTTAAAGTGTTGCGAGTAGGACCAACCAGCAGGCCTCAAGTTTGCTCAGTAGTGACAGAGGGGAGTGATGAAGATATTCTTGAGGAATATGTGGATATTCTCACTGGAGTTGGAAAGCTAAAGGACTATCAGCTTAAGATTCAAGTTAAGAAGGACGTTACACCAATAGCCCAGCAGGTGCGGAGACTTCCTTTCGGTCTCAGAGACAGAGTTGATCAGAAACTCGATGATCTGCTCGACAAGGACATCATTGAAGAATTACAAAACACCCTTACCGCGTGGGTGTCACCCTTGGTTGTAGCTCCTACATGAGGGACATGAGGGACATGAGGGACATGAGAGGAGGAAACTAGGCAATCATACGGGAATGACACCCCATACCTACGACTGAAGAAATCCTATACGATCTTAATGGGTCAACAGTTTTCAGCAAACTGGACCTCTGATGGGGATTCCACCAAATCGAGCTGGACGAGCAGTCACGGAAAATTAAAAATTTCTCGTTGCTATGTTCCCACCAATAACGTAGCTCCATTTTCTGCCTTTAAAAGCACACACAACCCACAATTCCTCTATTCGCTCCGAAACGGCCGCTTTTGTAATCGTTACGGTGGCCAATTTACCATTTCAACTTTGTTGATAGATCCAAATTATTACGGAAAATTACAACGTTCGTGACCCATCGAGGCTTATACCGTTACAAACGGCTGATGTTCGGAATCTCTTCAGCACCGGAGAAGTACCAGAAGATCATATCAGATCATACTAGGCTGCAATGGCGTTGCAAACATTGCAGATGACCTCATCGTTCATGGAATAAATTTGGAAGATCACGACAGGAACTTGCATGTAGTTTTAAAGCGGTTGCGTGAGAAGGGGTTGACCTTAAATGGATAGAAATGCCGGTTCAAACTTCCGGAGATGACATTTTTTGGGCATGATCTTAGTAGTGAGGGGGTCACGCTAAGTGAGGAAAAGATTGCAGCTGTGATGAATGCCTAGAAACTCAAGAATGTTTCAGAAGTTCACTCGTTCGTACAGCTTGTGCAGTACTCGACAAAGTTTGTTCCAAATTTCTCGCAAGCTGCAGAACCACTCAGGAAATTGCTCAGAAAGGGACAAACCTTTGTCTGGGGCATTGAGCAACAAGCATAATTTGAAAAGCTGAAGCAACTCATGACGTCAGCAAACACCCTGCCTACTTTAGAGGAGACTGCAATACAAGGATTGTAGCAGATGCAGATCTAGATGGACTGGGAGCAGTTCTTCTCCAACTGCAGGACAACGAATGGAGGAACCTTACAGATGTTGAGAGACGCTACGCACAAACGGAAAAGGAAGCGGTGGCCCTGGTATAGGCGTGCGAAAGGTTCAATCTCTACGTCTATGGACGCCAGTTCGAGCTCGAGACAGATCACAAGCCGTTAGAATGTACGTTCAGTCCAAGTTCCAAACCATCAGCAACGTTGGGTGCTTCGTTTACAGTGCCACAACTACCGCGTGCCAGTGCCACAATTACCGTCCCGGTAAAGGAAATATCGCAGATGATTTGTCCAGATTGAACCAAACCAATCCAAAGGATCCAAGCTGTGAAAAAAGAGGATTTTGTCAGATTTATGATGAAAGAAAGCACACAAGTTACTTTGACCCCTAGAGAAGTTGAGAGGCAGTCCGAGAATGATCCGGAGTTAGTGAGTGTACGTCAGTACATCCATTCAGGAGATTGGTCACAATGCAAGATTCCTGGCTATATCTGTGTGAAGAATGAACTGTATACCATAGGACAGTTAGTACTGCGAGGAGACTGGATTGTGATACCACAGAGTCTCAGGAAATCAGTCTTAGAAGCAGCTCACGAGGGACACCAGGGAAAAGAGTAGACAAAGAGCAGACAAAGAGTAGACTAAGAACGAAGGTGTGGTGGCCCAAAGTGGACATGGATGTGAAACGAATGTGCAAAAGCTGCCATAGTTGTCAGGTTGTGGGACAATATTCACCTTCCGAACCGATGCTGAAGACTAAACCACCAACAGGACCCTGGCAGGATGTCGCGGCGGATTTAATGGGACCGCTGCCCACAAGTAAAAGCTTGTTAGTGGTAGTCGATTACTACAGTCGGTATTACGAGGTGTCAGTGATGCGGTTAACAACCACGCCCAAGATCATCATCGCGTTAAGAGAGATTTTTTCACGGTTTGGAAACCCACACTCGCTCAAGACGGATAATGGTCCGCAGTTCGTTAGCAAGGAGTTCGAAGAGTTCTCACGTGAATGTGGAATCGAACACAGGAGGTCACCAGCGCTATGGCCACAGGCCAACGGCGAGGTGGAATGAAAGAATGGATCTCTCTTGAAAACCCTGAAGATGCCAGAGGTGGAGGGGAAGACGTCAGCAGACGAACTACCGAAGTATCTTATGGCGTATAGATCCACACCCAAGCATCCACAGGTGCCACTCCTACCTTTTTCATGTTTGGGGGAGAGATCAAGTCTAAATTTCCAGAGTTAAGACCAGAAGAGTCAGTAGTTAACGAAGACATTAGAGACAAAGACTGGAGTAACAAGTTAACTCAGAAAGCTTATGCCGATGGCAAGCGAGGTGCGGTACCGAGCCCTATAATCCATGGAGATCAACTACTTTTGAAGAACACAAAAAGCACTGAACAATTAGTGCCTAACTTTGAACCTGAACCATTTACGGTCTTGGCAAAAGAAGCAAGCCAAGTAACAGTTCAGTCTAGTAAAGGAACGATATATAACAGAGATAGTTCTTTTTGCAAGCCGTACATTTCACCTGCTGAGTCAAAAGTACCCGGGGAGGACAGCAATGTTTAAGACACGGGTACTTCAGACCAAAAGCCAATTGAGATTGAAATTTCTAGAACTAGGCGTATTATTAAAGCACCAGAAATGTTTTAGGGAAGCCCTCAGAGAATTCTGGACTTTTGAAAAGACCTTTTCAGTTTACGATTTCAGTATTTGTAAGTTGTCGTAAGCCATTGTAATCTTTGAGCAGGTACGTGAAAGCGGTAAGGAAGGGATGTAGTGTCTAGTTAAGCGCAAGGCATTGTGGGTTGTAGGAGGCAGCCATCTTGGAAAAACGTGTGTGTGTGGAAAATAAAGTGTGTTGTGTTTTCGGGAAAATCCAGTGTATTTTACTAGCCATCCAGCCCCGACAGTACAGTGCCCATACATTTGTACGCCATTTTTCTGATAGGACATTGCCATAAAGATGAAACACTGATTCATACATTTCGTGGAAGCTCATCTAACGAAGACTTTCCTTCAAAAATTAATGATAAGTGTAGTAAAACTAAAGAAAGCGTGACCCTAGCGCTTTGAAACGTGACCTGTCGTCCTAAATTTAAGAGTACATCAATTACTAAGTTATTGTAAAGCAGAAATATGATCCTTGTAACATACAAAAATGTGCAAAGTGTAATCTTAACAGAGCAGGATTTACGTACTCAAATAGGGTAGAACAAAGCATTATGCTCACGTTCGAATTAAAGTGTTTACTAGAAAGGAAACTACATGCCTTCCCTTGCATATCTAATCACGTAAAAACTAGCCACCAATATATATATAAGCACTTTGATTTAGCCAACAAAGTTACATGTAATCCGGACTAGAGTGTGAGCGAGTCAGACTCTTCGTTGAGGACCCAAAAACCGGGCAAGTCTAGAGTAAAACAAGCAGTCGGGGGGGTCATGTTAAAACGCAGACTGCAGACTGCAGACCATGCAGACCGTGGAGACGGGGGAATTTTTGGTTACTTACTACTTCACCCTTCGATACAGTACATCCATGATTATATATATATATATATATATTTACTTATTGATACAACAGGGAAGGTTTGGTGGCCAACAGATAAGTGCCGACCAATCTCCCTCAGATTTCCACCCGCGAAAGCGCTTAGCTATTACCTGCCCGTTCCAGCAGCAAAAGTTTCCAAATTCCGCTGCATCGATCCGAGAGCCGCTCCGTTTTACCACCCATCCTAGCTAAGTCGCTTTGTAGGTACGCGTAATCCTTTAGCTCTTACTACGGGATTTAGATATCAAAGCGCATCGGGTCGAAATACGCGCACGACTCCCCAGACGGTGTAGTTTGGCAATAGGGCAAACGTAACAACCTTCCTAACGATCCCCCGGAGAATATTTTATTTGGTTAGATACGGTCGACTTTTGTGGAATTTATCGGCCTTCGAGTGGCGATGGTTGGTGTTCGGTACCGGTTGAAGTTTCCAGCCATGAGTTTTTTACACACAGTTGACCGGTAACACCACACGCGTTGCAAAGAAAGTCGCCAAAACAGCGTTAACTGGACCGCAAACAACAAAGCAGCTGCGAAAGAAAGGAAAGGAGACCTCATACGATATATTCTTTGGTTTTATTTTCCTTTTTAATTTTTCTTAATTTTTTTATAATTTTTCCTATTTTACAGTTGACTGGTGACACCACGCGCGTTACAAAGCAAGTCCCCAAAACAGCGTTAAAACGACCGTTGGCAACAAAGCAGCTACGGAAAAAAAAGGTAAGGAGACTTTGCATGTTTATTCCTCGCTTTTATTATCTTCCTAAAGCGTATCGGGTCGAATTACGCGCACGACTCCCCAGACGGTGTAGTTGGCAATAGGGCAAACGTAACAACCTTCCTAACGATCCCCCGGAGAATATTTTATTTGGTTAGATACGGTCGACTTTTGTGGAATCTATCGGCCTTCGAGTGGCGATGGTTGGTGTTCGGTACCGGTTGAGGTTTCCAGCCATGAGTTTTTTTACACACAGTTTTTTATAATTTTTCTTTTTTTACGGTTGACTGGTGACACCACGCGCGTTACAAAGCAAATCGCCAAAACAGCGTTAAAACGACCGTTGGCAACAAAGCTGCTACGGAAAAAAAAGGTAAGGAGACTTTGCATGTTTATTCCCCGCTTTTATTATCCTCCTAAATTTTTTCTTATCTTTTTTTTTTTAATTTGTCCTTTTCTTAACGGCCCACGTGTACCCTTGAAATTCGATCTTAATAAATTAGTTATTGTCGTTAATGAACTTTACACCCCAACCCTCACCTCCAACCCACCCCTTTACACACAGTACGCTTGGGCCGCCTGTGGTATGTCATAATTAAGCTGCCGAAACAACATGTGATGGAAAAATTCTGAGCCCTCGCTCCACTAAGCGGTAGCGCCTGCGCATTAGTGACCAATTGCAGATTTGACGCACAAACACCAACAGCACGTCTGACTCGGGGCCGAGCCGAGTAAATAGTCTGGATCATTTATCTATCCCAAGGCTTCAGGTTTATGTCTTCAGAGTAAAACTGATAAAAAAAGACTTAAATTTTACATCAAAATGATTGTAACCGATGCACTTACCATACTCAAGTCGCTCTACAGACATTTCTCGAAGAGAGTTGGATTTCTGGATTTGTGTTGGTATTTCTGGCCCCGGCTGTTCGAAGGCTGGATAACGCTATCCACCGGATAAATTTCTATTCGGTGAATAATGCAGTACGTTTTGCCATCACTTATCCGCTGGATAGGCATTTATCCGTTGGATAGCGTTATAGAGTTTGCTAACACAGGGTTAGTGTGAAATCTCGGATTTCAGATCTGAAGGATTTAGAAGTAAATTCAGTATAACTATTTTTGTTTACGATTTGGTGATTGAATACTCTAAACAGAATAGATAAACTTATCCGAAAAAAGGTTTTTGAACAAAGGAATAAAGAAACCCGGATTAAAATTTGACCCTGGGTTAGCGCAAATCGGCTTTTGAACAACCTGGCCCAGATGAGTAAATCGGCATTTTATGTAAAATCTGTTCATTCTCAGAATCTACTTAGCTTATGAGTAGCTGCCTCAAGTAAACTTGCGTGACCATGTTATGTACCTTGTTTTACATGCATTGATTTTGTGTGCTATTAATGCCTAAAGGGCAGCAATGGAAAAGCCATCTACGGCAAGATTGCTTCTCTCGTGTGGTATATATCTTTGTAACTTCTAACGAAGCACACTTCCTGTATGTTTTATAAGAGATGGGTTCAGATGCCATCAAGCTGTTGATATGTGGCAGCGGTAGTGGAGCGCACGCATTTGCCGGCATCGCGTCCTCTTTGCAGGGAACTGAAGTTCGTGTGCTCAGCCTGTATCAAGATAAAGCAGAGCGTTGGAACGCCAGCATGCAGACCAAAGACCTTGAAGTCATCTTGCATCGGAAGGGACAAGATACAATTTCTGTTACATCGAAACCTTCAATGGTAACCAAAAACGCTCAGGATGCCATGCAAAATGTGGATATTGTCGTGTTTGTACTCCCAGCGTTTGCCCATCAAGTCTTACTGGATGCCTTAAAACCTTATATAAAACCTGGCACAGTACTTGTTGGTATGCCAGGAGAACCGGGTTTCGAGTTCCAAGTTCGTCACGTGCTGGGCGAGTCAGGTCGGCAATGCACTGTAATGAATTTTGAATCTTTACCGTGGGCATGCCGTGTAACTGAGTTTGGTGCTAAATGTGAAGTTCTTGGCACCAAGGAAACTTTACTGGGAGCCTTGAAGGTACGTGTACGTGTACGTGTGATGATGTAGGGGTGATTCTCGCGCTTGAAAAGGAAAGCAAATTTTCCAAGTCGTGCAGTGCTTTTGAGTAGAACGTTTTCAGTATACACACAAGCCACTGGGTGGGTGTTTGTGTGAAGAAAATACAGTGACGAATGAGATTAACCTTCGCATACCACGAGAAATTGTTTCATGACTAAATTATCAAGTGGAGGCTGTGTCAAGCGGGCACCCTCTACTGAAAGTCTTGGAGCCCGGACTGTATGTCTGGCACGCCTCGATTCTTTGGTCCCACACTCTTTACATCGTCACCCCGTGAGAAAACAGTGCTCTTATATTGAGAGCTTATTTCACATAAATCTGAAATACCTGGTTTTGATTGTTTGAAATTAATCATTAGCGAGAGCTTAACCGAAAAGCAAAATTCTGAAGCCGAGAGAATTTACTATCTGTGATTTTTCTAGGACCCTTCTCAAGAACACCTCAACAGAATTTCCCCAAAATACTGAAATATTGATGACGACTGGGATGGCACGCCCACTGTTTCAAAATTCAGTCCTTCGCTGAACACTTGCGTGAAAATTGTTTGACTGCGATGGGGAAAAGTTCTTTTGTGAGCGATCTGAGTAGAGCCTAAGAGAAAATGGACTTATTATTTTCAGTTAATCAATCGATCAATCAAGTTGTTAGTGTCTATGCGTTGGATCAGTTTGCTCTATGTATCTCAGCCAGAAGCTCATGTATGAAACGCATGACGCTCAGCAAAAT